TAGACAGTCAGTTCATTGAAGTACAGGGATCCCCTAACAGAAGGGACCTCAGCAAGACAACACAAAGGCACATAATAATTAAAATGGCAAAGATCAAGGATAAGTAGTAAGTGGTGAAACAGCCAAAGAGAGAAAAATAATTAATTATAAAGGAAATCCTATCAGGTTACACACAGACTTCTCAACAGAAACTCTTTAGGCCAGAAGGAAGTGGCATGATACATTCAATATGCAGAAGAACCTCCAACCAAGAATCCTGTACCCAGCAAGATTATCATTTAAATTTGAATTGGGGATTAAGCAATTTTCAGTAAACAAGAGCTGAAGGAATTTGCCACCACTAAGTCAGTCTTATACATATGTTAAAGGGATTGCTGTAGGTGGAAATGACCCTAAGGCTAAATAGCTTTCACCACTGAAAATAAACCCATACTAAAGGTAGAAGACCAACTAATCGCCAATAAAACAAAAGAAGCAAAATCAACTCTCTGCAAAATCAGTCAAGAGATACACAAAAAGTTCAGATTATGACATGTAATATGAAAAATGTGGAGGAGGAAGGAGAAGAAGCAAAAAGAGTACCTTTAGATTGTGTTTGAAATAGAGTAATCAGCAATTTAAGATCAACAATTATCTAGTAAAGAAGCTATCCTTGAAACTTTGGTAACCACAACACTAAAGCTAATAAATACACACACCAAAGCAAATAAAATTTAAAAAGAGAAAAATCCAATTGCAACACTAAAGAAAACCATCAATACCAAGAGATTAGTATAAGAGAGGAAGAAAGAAACAGAGGAGATATAAAAAAAACAGCAGAAAACAGTAAAGTGGTAATAAGTACATATCTATCAACAATCACATTAAGTGTAAATGGCTGAATGCACTAATGAAAAGGCACAGAGTGGCAGAGTGGATAAGGAAACAAGACTCATCTGTATGCTGCCTACAAGATATTCATTTCAGACCCAGAGACATCCACAGACTAAAAGTGAAGGGATGGAAAAGGTATTTTATGCAAATAATTGGAAGAAAAAAGCAAGAGTGGCAGTACTTATATCAGGCAAAATGAATTTCAAAACAAAGGAAGTCATAAGAGACAAAGGAGGACATTACATAATGATAAAGGGGTCAGTCCAACAAGAGGATATAAGCATTATAAATATCTCTGCACCCAACATAGGAGCACTTAGATATGTAAAACAAATACTAACAGAATTAAAGGAGGAAATAGATTGCAACACATTCATTTTAGGACACTTTAACACACCACCTACATCAGTAGACAGATCAACCATACAGAAAATAAATAAGGAAGCAGAGGCACTAAACAATACATTAAATCAAATGGATTAACAGATATCTACAGAACACTCCATCCAAAAGCAACAGGATACACACTTTTCTCAAGTGTACCTGGAACATTCTCTGGAATAGTTCACATACTAAACTACAAAAAGAGCCTCAGTAAATTAAAAAAGATTGAAATTGTATCAAGCAGCTTCTCAGGCCACAGTGGTATGAAACTAGAAATAAATTATGCAAAGAAAACAAAAAAGCCTACAGGCAGATGGAGGATTATTGTTCTAAATAATCAATGGATCAGTGACCAAATTAAAACTGAGATCATGCCATATATGGAGACAAATGAAAACAACAACTCCAACTCAACAGCCTAAAACCTATGGGATACAGAGAAGGCAGTGCTAAGAGGAAAATATATAACAATACAGGCTTACCTCAAGAAACAAGAACAATCCCAAACAGTCTAAAATCACAATGAAAGAAACTAGAAAAAGAAGAACAAATGAAACCCAAAGCCAGTAAAAGGAGAGATATAATAAACATCAGAAGAGAAATATATAAAATAGAGAAGAATAAAACAATAGAAAGAATCAATGAAACCAGAAGCTAGTTCTTTGAGAAAATAAACAAAATAGATACCCCCCGGCCAGACTTATCAAGAAAAAAAGAGAGTGTACACACATAAACAGAATCAGAAATGAAGAGGGAATAATCACAAAGATACTATAAAAGTACAAAGAATTATTAGAGCATAGAATGAAGAATTACATGCCAATAAATTGGGCAACACAGAAGAAATGCACAACTTCCCAGAAAAACACAACCTTCCAAGACTGACTCAGGAAGAAACAGAAAATCTGAACAGACCAATTACCAGCAATGAAATCAAATTGGTAATCAAAAACTCCCCCCAAACAACCCTCCAAGTCCAGGCAGTCTCGCAGCTGAATTCTACCAGACATTTGAAGAGATAGTACCCATCCTTCCTAAGGCATTCCAGAAAGTAGAAGAGGAGAGAATACTTCCAACTCATTCTATGAGGCCAGCATCACTCTAATATAAAAACCAGCAAAGACACCACAAAACAAGAAAATTATAGAACATTATCTCTGATGAACATAAAAGCAAAAATCCTCCTCAAAATATTAGTAGATGAAATTCAAAAATACACTAAAAGGATCATCCATCATGAAAATGTGGGATTTATTCCAGGAATGCAGGTATGGTATAACATTCATAAATCAATCAATGTGAGACACTACATTAAAAAAGGAATGATAAAAACCATCTGATCATCTCAATAGTTGCTGAAAATACATTGACAAAATTCAAAACCCATTCATGATAAAAACACTCAACAAGGTGAGTATAGAGGGAATGTACCTCAACATAATAAAGGCCATATATGACAAACCCACAGCCAACATCATACTTAATAACAAAAAAATGAAAGCTTTTCCTCAAAGATCAGGAACAAGACAAGGACGTCCACTTTCCCCACTTTTATTCAACATAGTACTGGAGGTCCTGCCACAGCCATCAGACAGCACAGAGAGATAAAAGGTATCCAAATTGGTAAGGAAGAAGTTCAACTTTCACTATTTGAAGATGACTATTATACACAGAAAACCCTAAAGACCTCACTAAAAAACTGTTAGAACTAATAACTGAATTCAGGAAAGTTGCAGGATACAAATTTAACACACCAAAATCTGTTGAAGTCCTATATACTAACAATGAACTAGCAGAAAGAGAGATCAGGAAAACAACACCATTTATAATTGCATCAAAAAGAATAAAATATCCAGGAATAAACCTAACCAAGAGGGTGAAAGGCTTATTCTCTGAAAACTACAAGACTCTCATGAGAGAAATTAAAGAAGACACCAAAATGGAAATATATCCCATGCTCATGGATAGGGAGAATTAATATTGTCAAAATGGCCATCCTGCCTAAAGCAATCTATAAAGTCAATGCAATCCCTACCAAAATACCAATAGCATTCTTCAATGAACTAGAACAAATAGTTCTAAAATTCATATGAACCACAAAAGATGCCAAATAGCCAAAGCAATCCTGAGAAAGAAGAATAAAGCTGGGGGGGATTACGCTCCCTGACTTCAAGTTCTACTACAAAGCTACAGTAATTAAAACAATTTGGTACTGGAACAAGAACACAACCATAGATCAATGGAACAGAATAGAGCAACCAGACATAAACCCACACATCTATGGTCAATTAATATATGATAAAGGAGCCATGAATATACAATGGGGAAATGACAGCCTCTTAAACAACTGGTGTTGGGAAAACTGGACAATTACATGTAAGAAACTGACACTGGATTACTGTCTAACTCCATACACAAAAATAAACTCAAAATGGATCAAAGACCTAAATGTAAGTCATGAAATCATAAAACTCTTAGAAGAACACATAGGCAAAAGTGTCTTGAATATAAAACATGAGCAACTTCTTCCTGAACACATCTCCTCGGGCATGGAAACAAAAAATGAACAAGTGGGACTACACCAAACTAAAAAGCTTCTGTACAGCAAAGGGCACCATCAGCAGAACAAAAAAGACATCTGACAGTATGGGAGAACACACTAATAAATGACTCATGTGATAAGAGGTTAACATTGAAAATATATAACGAACTCATATGGGTCAACAACAACAAAAAACCAAATAACCCAATCAAAAAATGGGCAGAGGACCTAAAAAGACACTTCTCCAAAGAAGAAAACAAATGGACAACAGGCACATGAAAAGATGTTCCCCATTGCTAATCAGCAGGCAAATGCAAATTAAAACCACAATGAGAGATCATCTCACACCAGTTAGAATGGCCACTATCCAAAAGACAAGAAATAACAGATACTGCCAAGTGTGTGGAGAAGGGAACCCTCCTACACTGTTGATGGGACTGCAAATTGGTGCAACTGCTGTGAAAAGCAGCATAGAGGTTTCTCAGAAAACTAAAAATAGAAATACCATTTAAAAAAAAAAAGAAATACCATTTTACCCAGTAATTCCACTACTGGGGATTTACCCAAAGAAAGCAAAATTCCTGATTCAACAAGACATAAGCACCCCTATGTTTATCGCAGCACTATTTGCAAGAGCCAAGATTTGAAAGCAACCTAAATCCATCAATAGGTGAATGGGTAAAGAAGATGTGGTGCATATACACAATGGAATATTATTCAACCATAAAAAAAAGAAATCCTGCCATTTGCAACAACATGGATAGATCTAGAAGGTATTATGCTCCTTGAAATAAGCCAGGTGGAGAAAGTCAAATACCATATGATTTCACTAATTTGTGCTTATAAGTGAACAAGCAGTTGTTTGTTGTGGAGCAAGTGGCTGGCTTCACCTTTGATTGCCAAGGCCCCCATGTCAGAGGCACCCACTCCCGGAGACCTCCTGCCAGCCTCAGGACAGACCTAGAGCCAGGCCTCCTCCCCCCATGGAGGCTCCTCTGAGGTACAGCTCTCCCTTGATTTGAGTTAACTGCCCACTGGGCCACTCATGGTTTCTCTTCCCCACCTTTAAGTTCTTCCTCTTATGTTTCCAGTTCAGCAGGAAGGAGTGAGCCCAGGAAGCCCTAGGTTCCCCTCCCCAGATCCCAATAAAGAGAGGGCCCTGGCCGAGGGCTCCCTTTACCTGATCTCTGTGTGGCCCCAGGTGTGCTGTGTCATCTCCTGGAAGAAACCTCTCTTTTGCCGACTTTCTCGACGGTTGCTGCTGAAGGGCATCCACAATCAGAGTAAGAACCAAAAGTTTGATCCAGTGGTAACATTGGGTGGAAAGGGGAGATGTAGTGGGAAGCCTCCCAGGCCCAAGCAAGCCCCACACGTGTTTCTGGATGAAAGACTTACTGTCCACAGGCTGAGACCAGCACGAACCAGGGATACCATGGACCCTTCTTTCTTCCTCAAACTCTGTGAAGCAGAGCAGGTGGGCCCCCTTTATGGGGGAGCCTCTCAGACTTCCCGTTAACACATCTAAGAGAATCCCATGCCCCACAGAGGTGTGTTGACAAGCAGGTGGGGGTTACAAAAGACAGGTTGTGATAAGGAGGTAAGGCACACTCAATAAACACAATGAGGAGCCCTTTATTCTCCCTTAAGGGTGCCCATAAACTCTAACACGCATATAGAGATGTTCTTGCAGGTTCTCAGACCCCATCAGGCAGACCACCTCCTGGCTACAAGCAGGGGGGCCCCAGACAGGCGGAGCCAGAACACCATTCACTGAGGCACAGAACACCCCCCATTACCTCCCCAGGGACCCATCAGGAGAATGAACGTGAGCTGGTCATGCACCCTGTTATCTTCACCCCTAATTTTGCCCATAAAAACCCCTGCAATCTGTACCCGGAGTCTGTAGGAAGCCTGCTGCTTTCCTTTACCGCCCCGATGTCAGTGTTTGGGGGCTGTGTGCTGGGTTGGCCAGCTTGTGATGGGCTTTGTTGGGTGACATCCCCCCCTTGGAAAGACATGAAGATGACAGAGTCCCTGGGAACCGAGTTTTGGAAGTGTGACCCCGGGCCTGCCTGGGTCCGTTCCTGCATCCACCCATGAGGGACGCTGACCAGGCCTGACTGAGAGGAACTCATCCCAACCACAGGCCCCTCCCTGGCTCAGCTCTGTGCCCCACGAGGACTTTCTGAAGCGTCCCTCCTCCCCCTCTGCTCTCCTCCACTTATCTGTCATTTAGTGTCTGGGGGCCCCAGGCCAGTAGGAACCAGGGGCTCCTAAGGGGAAGAGGGGGCAAAGAAGGCCTGGGAGAAGACAGGCCATTCAGGCCTGAGCTCTGAAGAGGGAGATGTCCCAGTGGGGAGTACAGACAGGGACACACCGCCCAGAGCGGGACCTCGCCTCAGGCAACACCCCTAACAGCTACTGCTCTCAGTGCTGGCCTGCAGGAACTGGTCCAATCTGCCCAACAGTCCTCTGGGTAGGCAGTGCGATGCCCCTATTTCACAGGTGAGCAAACGGGGTGCAGAAAGGATAAGTGCCACACATGGTCTCGTAACCAATTCCTAGCGGGGCTGGGATTCAAATGTGGTTGTTGAGCTCTAGGGTCCGAGGTCTTCACTTTCACCCAGGCTCAGAACTAGTGGGGGGCCCAGCACTAGGGCCCAGGCCTTCTGAAGGGGCTGAGTCCAGCCCTTTGCCCCAGCCAGAGCCCAGGTGAGGCCCCAGCAGCTGGTGGATGGGGTGGGTGAGGCCGCCATCATTCCTGACCCAGTCCTGCTGCCCCCTGCAGGGAGCCCCTGCCCGGAGGAGAAGCCCCGGGTAGACCTTCAGCAAAGGGAGGAGGCTGAGGGGGGCGTCCCGTGGCTGCTGACTCTCTGCTCCACCCAGAGGATCCCCACCCCAGCGAGCAGCTTACCAAGTGCTTTCACGTCTCCCTCAGGGTCCTCACAACGACTCTGTGACAGGAGCAGCCAGGGGATCATTTTACTCCCACTTTGCAGATGTGCAAACACACCCTCAGGGTGGGGTGGAGCCTTGCCGGAGCAGTGACACTGGGGAACCGGGGCACGGAGCCTAGTCCTGGGCCTTCTCCTCCCCGCAGGCCCTGGCCACCGCCAGCCCACATTCTGTCTTGTGGCTTTACCCAGATGAGACGCTAACATGAATGGATCATGTCATGTGTGCCCTGGGTGTCTAGCTGTTACGGGACCCCAGAGACCAGGTTCTGGAGTTTCAACGTTACAGAAATGAACACTGAACTCGAAAGAAAGAAAGCAGGCAGAGTTTATTAGAGGTAGCTTCCCACCTCTTTCACCCAATTCCCTGCCCTTGTCAGGCCCTCATCATCTCTGAGGCCTGCAGCTCTGGGGATACAAAGGGCAAGCATATGCCCACCTGGGAGCCCAAGGCCACAGAACTGGGCACCTCTTGAGTCGGGAGGTGGGAAGGCTGTTTCACGTCTGTACATGAAATAGGTGGGTTCCAGATGCCCTGCAGTGCAGGCTGACCAGTGGTTCCCCCCAGTCCCCATCACCAGCAGCCTCAGCATGCGGCTTATTTGGAAATGACCTTTGCAGGTGGGATTAGCTAGATGAGGTCACCCTGGAGCAGGTGGGTGTGACCCTAACTCAGTGACGATTGTCCTCACAGGAAGAGACATGGAGACACACAGACGGAAGAGGCAGCTTTGTGAGGACGGAGGCAGAGGTTAGGCTGACATGGCAACTAGCCAAGGAGCGCCAAGGAGAGCGGCAGCCCCCGGAAGCTGGAAGAGGCCTGGAGCACATTCTCCCTCCCTCTCCACCATGAACCACCCTGCCACACCTTGACCTTGGACATGTGCCTCCAGACAGCGAGAGGATAAGGTTCTGCTGTTTAAGCCACCCAGTCTGTGGTATTTTGTTATGGCCACCTCACCATGGACAGTGCAGAGTCCACAAAACTCTGTAAACAGAGCAATTAATCAATCATTATGCCGTTCTTATGGCATCACACAAAAGGTCCCAGGGTGCAATGATATAAGGCACTGGAGTAGGGAGGGTGGAGCTTTGAGCAAATGGGTTTGTAGCCTTCTTTTACAAGCTGAAACTCATGAATGCTGTTAGTTTTTCTGCTCAATCGACCATCTCTTATTCTATGTTCACTGTGTTAAGACAGTCGGGAGTTTAGCTTGAAATACGGAGGTGTAGGCAAACATGCTTCCTTCTTTCCAGAAATGTCAGGGGAGATGAGATGAAAACACTAAGTCAATCAAAGATAAAAAATATTAAATTAAGTGCCTCAGCTGAGTGTTAAAAGAGATATGTGCGCAAAAAGGTAGTATTAAAGTATGAATATACGAAGCAATGGGCAAAGTTATAGTGGACTTTCAGCTACTATTATAACAATTGGATTTCTGAGAAAGGCACCCCACCAGTGACTGGGAAGTTCAAGAACATTTAGTCACTGTAACTGTATGTTCTGTCTATCGGTTGCCCCTAATTTGCACAAAAGCATCACGTAACACTTTGTAAAGAGATGTTTATTGACTTGATCAATATAATGCCTAATATAGAAATTCAAAACAACATATGTGCTATAATCATTGCTGCAATCATTCTTGTTTTCATTAGAGATGGTTGATGAAATTGTTGAGAAATTTCATTCTTGATCAGAGCTCAGGAGGAGCAGAAGGTGCTCACTTGGGGTGGACAGAGAGAGTCCAGAGAACCAGATAAGCTGGTGCTCATTAGTGTCCTACTGCATGTTACCAGGATATATAATACTCCACTGGGACACCGGAAAGTGAAATGAACATTCAGAAGTCCTACTCATCACGTGCACTACATTAACAGCCTCTTCATCCCCGGGTTTTATTCACAGAGTCAGCTGAGGTCTCTGGTGGTGTGGGATCCAGCTTCCCGGAAGAACAAAGCAGAATCTTCAGTGAAAGTCAGGCGCCACTCAAGGTTCCATTTCTCAACTCAATATTCAGAACAATGGGTTTTTCCGGTTGAATAAGTCCTTGATTGCTTAATTTCAAGGGGATCTGCCACACATAATCAAACATGAGAACAAGTTAATGGAGCCAGCCAAGAACAGAAGCACGTAGACAAGATACATTAAGGACACAAACATTTAAAAACTATTTTAAGCATCATGTATCTATGATTCTTTTTTTTTAAACTATAAGTCAATATCTTTCAAAGATATAGGGACAGTTGGGTTACCTACTTTTCCTTGAGTGAATTTTAATACTTGCATCTTTCAATGAACTGGTCTATTTAATTTCTGTTATAAAATGTACGGACATAAAGTTCTTTGCAGTATTCCCTTATCTTTTTGGTTTTACATTGTTTCCACTCTTATTGAGGTATTGACATACAGTAGTGTGCAAACTTCAGGTGTACAGCATTATGATTTCACTTGCAAAAATGAAGAAATTATTACCCCAACAAGCTTAGTTAACACAATCATCTCATTTAGATACCAAAGAGGAAAAAGAAAAAATTTTTTTCCTTGTAGTGAGAGTTCTTAGCATCTCCTCTTTTCACACCCCTCATGTGTGCCATGTGGCAGCGTCAGCGACTGTCACCATGTTGTACGTGACATCCCCAGCACTTGTGCATCTTACAACAGGACCACGTTCCACAGCCCCCTCCCTGCTATAATTCTCTGCACTTATTCTGTGAGCTGTGCCAGGACTGGATGGTGAAAGCTCATCTGTCATTCAGTCAACAAATTATCTGTGGAGCAACCACTATGTACCAAGGTGGAGATAAAATTGTGTTGGCATGTGGTCTGTTTTGATTTAAAGTTCAAGTAAAAAGGATGAGTTCTTAAAAATGTAAACCACATTCTTAGGCATTAGGGCAAGCAATTCTGAAAAGCCACATTGAGTTGATTTTGTGTATGTTCAAACTTATGGTGTGATCCTACATGCCATGTGTCCGACACATGGCAGGACTTCCTCACTTGTAAAGCCCAGTGGAACCACCCAGTCATGGCTGAGGTCATGGGAGGGATTACATGTATTTTCTAACATCGGGTGTATCTTTAGTGTAGGGCAAGTAGTGAATTCGTGAAGAACTGCAGGGTTTGGACTGACACTTTGAGTGCCCTGTTCCCCCATCACGCCTTCATGTGGGGGCCCCAAGCACCATCACCTTCTAATCTCTGTGACTTCCGGGCAAGCACACTATCCTGGGGGGAGAGAAGTGCCTAGCTGTGCATGGGCAGGAGCTTGTGAGAGGACCTGCCCATCCCAGGCTCTCAGCGTCCAGGGTCCTGTTTGTCCACACTTACAGGAAAGCCACACAGCTGCACTAAAGCCACAAATGACAGGGAAACCCTGTCCATCCTCCTCCTCTCCCTGAGGGCCTGCATATTAAATGCATGACTGTGCCCACACACCCCTCCTTCCTGTGCCCTGGAAACCGAATATAAACTTTGCTCAAGTTCAAAGGCCTGTGCATAATCACATCACAGTAACTGCAGGGGCCACAGGTGACCTTTACTACTGGCTGTTTGTAAAGCCACACAGTGCTCCATAGCTGAGGACCCCCAGAGCCATACATGGCTCCAGGTAGATTCTCTGGCCTATGGAGCAAATGATTCTTTGAATAGAACACATTCCCTTATACAAATATAGACATATATAGATATATTTCTCTTGGTTAAGAAAATCTCCCAATGAACATTATTTATCCAGTGATTTATCTGTCTGACCTGTGTTTCTTTACAAGGTTTGAAGGAGAAGTGCTGCAGGACTCTGACGATAGCCACTTTCATGTTCAGGAGAGCGAACCTCATGCCGATGCAGTTTCGGGGTCCAGTTCCAAAAGGCAGGTATGTGTACGGATTTATGCTGTCCTTGTTCTTCTTACTGAACCTGGACCCACAATAGCAGATGAAGGCAAGTTAATGAAACATGAGAACAGCAAAGATCCACAGTGGGGATCTCAGGCTCCTCAGCCGGAAGCACACAGGACCATGTTCATGTCGTGGATGAGTCATGAATCCTGCCACGGGCACTTGGGGTGGGAACCCGAGCTACAGCCCATCCCATCCCCTTTGGCCTGCAGGGCCTCTCAGTCTCGTTGAAGACATGAGTTGAGTGCTGTTAAAAAGAAATTCACCTCTGAACACTAAAATGACATTCAGGGTGGGGAGGTGCTCACACTAAAAAGGCAAGTAGGAAATGAGACTGACTGAAGGAAGGGGGGGTTCCTGCATCTCCTCGACCTGCCTGGCCAGATGGTCATGGAGGACAGAGCAGGAGACAGGCGTCCTATTACTTCAGGTGGTATTGTTCCTTCTCTCCCCTTCCTGCACCCCTGCTGCTCCTCTGCTCCCCCTCCCCACAGACCCGCTGAAGTCAGGTGATTCCCGTGGGCAGCAGGCTCTGCTCTGCTGCAGTACAATCCCTGATCTCCTTGTCTGTCTGTGTCCTTCAAGGTTAGACCATGAGTTATTCAAATCTCATTCCTCAACATCTGATTATGTTAAGGAAACATGTGGATATGGGGAAAGTGATAATGGCAATGTAGTTATATAATATTTAAAGAGTCATTATTTAGAGAAAATCTGGAATAGGTACAAATGCTGTGCCTTTGACTATTATGGGAATTAGGAGAATAGCCTTGGTGTGTGGGTGGGGAGGCTTCCATGGGTTAATGGTGGCTGGGCAGGCAGTGCGCTCATACAGATGCATTGAAAGTACACCTAGATGTGTCTAGGGAAGTGCTTGTGTATATGTCAGAAATACTTATACTTCAGCCAAAACCCCTCCAATTAGGCATTTTTTGACCATTAGATCTCACTGCCTGACTCTGTCCCTGAAACTCAAGGGTAAGCATTTACTCTGATGCCTGGATGAATGAAAGAGAAGGACAGTAACTTGTCTCTGATTTGTAGTTGTGAAGATGCAGGATGGTGAAGTGCTGAGCTTGGAGCAAGCGTAGAGGACCCCTGGTCCATAAAAACAACAATTTCTCAACTCTGACATCGTTTTTCAGCAAGTACTACACTATGCTAGCACTAGGGACACCTTGGAAAACAAAATAAGGTACTTCCGCCCAGGGGCTTTTTGTCAGGGGACAAAAAGCCTACATCCCAGGTATTTCCTCAGAGTTCACTCCAAATTCTGCTCACCAACCCAATATGTAGGAGAGCATCAAGTCTATGCAGAACTCAACGTGTGCCCAAAGCAGACATTGGTTTTGCGTTCACAGGAGAGCAAGCTCAAGGCCCATCTCCCTTATGGATCAGCCTTGTGCCACATTTCCCTGTGCACTTGCTGTGCCTACACCACTCACCCAGCAGTGGCTGCTATTTGCTGCTTGGCAGGAAGACATAGGCCCTGCTCAGTGATCCCTGCAGAAACAATGCACTCCATGAATTGGGCTCACTGAGGCATTCTGTCAGCCTTTGCTGACAGAGATCAACCATTGCCAGCATGCAGGCTGAACATTTTTCCTACCCAGAGCCCACAATGAGGAACTGTGGCTCCAGTGCTAAGGAAAACCAGGCACTGGTGAGCTGAGAGTCCTGACATTCTTGGCACCACAGGATACCATTTCTATCTAAACCAGGAAGCAGAGCTGATCTAAGTACAAAGGAAGATATACAGAAACCCAGACAAAATGAAGAGGCAGAGGAATATGTTTCAAACAAAAGAACAGGAGAAGACAACAGAGCAGGCCAAATGAAACAGATTACCAATCTTAATGAAGATTCCATAGTAACAGTCATAAAGATGCTCACTGACTTGTAGAAAAGAATTGATGATCTCAGTGAGAACTTCATCAGAGACATAGATTTCAGAAATAGCCACTCAGAGTTGAAGAAATCAATAACTGAAATGAAAAATACAATAGAAGGAATAAATAGTAGACTTCTGGAAGTAGAGGAGAGAATCAACGAGATGGAAATTAGAGAACAGAAAAACAACCAAGCTGAAATCAGAGAAGAAAAAGCTTTGCTAAACATGAGAGGATGCTTAGAAGCTGTGCAACAACTCCAAATGAAACAATATTCACCTAACAGGGGTCCCAGAAGAAGAAGAAAAAGGGGTAAAAATTCTTTTTGAAGAAAGAACAGCTGAAAACTTCCCCAATATGGGGAAGGAAAGACACCCAGGTCCTAGAAGCATAGAGGGCCCCTAACAAAAGGAACCCCATGGACACAACACCAAGACATACAGTAATTAAAGTGGCAAAGATTAAAGAGAAAGAGAGAATCTTAAGTGCAGCAGGAGAGAGGCAGATAGTTACCTGTGAGGAAAACTCCATAAGACTATCAGTAGATTCCTCAGCAGAAACTTCACAGGTCAGAAGGGAGTGGCATGAAATATTTAATATATTGAAAGAGAAGAACCTACAACCAAGAATCCTCTACCCAGCAAGATTACCATTCAGAATTGAAGGGGAGATTACAGATAAACTAAGGTTAAATGAGTTCCCGAACACTAAACTGGTCTTACAAGACATGTAAAGGGACTTCTGTAGCTGGAAATATTCTTAAGCCTAAATATTTTTCATCAATGAAACAAACCTACAGTAAAAGTAGCAGGCCAGTTACTTACCGAGCAAGTATGAAGTTAAACACAAAAGTAGTAAAATCAACTATATGCAAAATCAGTCATGGGATACACAAGAGATGTGGATTATGACACACACAAAGTGTGGAGGAGGAAAAGTACAAAAGGAGTACTTTCAGATTGTGCTAGAAACAGAGTGACCATCAACTTAATATAAACTTATATATTTAGGAAAAAGCCTATGAACCTTATGGTAACTGCAAACCCAAAGCATATAACAGATACACAAAAATGAAAAAAGGAAACCCAAGCAGAACAGTATTAAAAACCATCAAATAGTAAGACATGAGATAAGAGAGGAAGATCAGAACAGAGAAACTACAAAACCAACCAGAAAACAGTTAATAAAATGGTAACAAGTACATATCTATCCATAATTGCCTTAAATGTAATTGGACTAGATACACCAATCAAAAGACATAGGGTAGCAGAACAAATAAAGACACAAGGCCCATCTATATGCTGCCTAAAGGACATTCATTTCAGACCTAAAGACATACACAGACTGAAAGTGAGGGGATGGAAAAAAAGATATTTCATGCAAATAAAGAGAAAAAAAGAAGGGGTGGCAGTAATTTTATCAGACAAAGTAGACTTCAAAACAAAGAAGGTAACAAGAGACAAAGAAGGACATTCCACAAATATAAAGTGATCAGTCCAACAAGAGGATATAATGATTGTAAATATCTATGTACTCAACATAGGAGCATCTAAATATATAAAACAAATATGAACAGACCTAAAGGGAAACTAACAGCAACACAATCATATTAAGAGACCTTAACATTCCACTTACATCAGTGAACAGATCACCCAGACAGAAAATAAATAAGGAAACAGAGATGTTGAACAACACATTAGACCAGATGGACTTAACAGGTATATACAGTCCTTTCTGCTGCAAAGCAGCAGCATACACATTTTTCTCAAGTGCACATGGAATGTGCTCCAGAATAGATCACATATTAGGACACAAAAACAGTCTCAATAAATTCAAAGATATTGAAATTGTATGAAGCATCTTTTCAGATCAGAATGGTATGAAACTAGAAATCAATTCCACAAAGAAACCAGAAGAAAGCACATACACATAGAGGGTAAATAGTCAATGGATCCATGAACAAATCAAAGAAGAAATCAAGCAATACATGAAGACAAATGGAATGAAAATACAACAGTGCAAAATATGTGGATGCTGCAAAAGCAGTTCTAAGAAGGAAGTACATAGCAATACAGGCCTACCTCAAGAAAGAGGAACAATCCGAAATAAACAGTCTAAGTGCACAACTAAGTAAACTAGAAAAAGAACAAGGAATGAAAACCTAAGTTAGTAGAAGGGACATAATAAGATGAGAGCAGAAATTAATAAAATAGAGAAGAACAACACAATGGAAAAACAATGAAACCGAGAGCTGATTCTTTGAGAAGTGAAAGAAAACAGACAAACCCTAGCCAGACTTTTCACACAAAAAAGGGAGAAGACACAAATAAACAAAATCAGAAATAAAAAAGGAGATGTTACAACCAATACCACAGACATTCAAAGAATTATTAGAGAATACTATAAAAAATTATGGGGCAATAAATTGGACAACCTGGATGATATAGATAAATTCCTTGAAAAGTACAACCTTCCTAGACTGACCCAGGAAGAAACAGAAGTTCTGAACAGACCAATTAGAAGTAATAAAATTAAATTGGCAATCAAAAGACTCCCAGTAAATAAATTCCATGACTGGATGGATTCACAGTTGACTTCCACCAAACATTTAAAGAAGAGCTAATATCCATCCTGCTTAAAAAATTCCAAAAAGTAGAAAAGGAGGGAATACTTCCAACTTATTCTATGAGGCCAGCATCACTCTAATACCAAAACCAGGCAAACTAAAAAAAAGGTAGACACAAGAATCCTCAACAAAATATTAGAAAATCAAACTCAGAAATACAACAAAAGGATCATCCATCACGACAGAGTGGGATTTATTCCAATGATACAAGGATGGCACAATATTCATAAATCAATGAACGTGATACACCACATTAACAAAAGGAAGGATAAAAACCATCTGATCATCTCAATAGTTGCTGAAAATGCACTGACAAAATTCAACATCCAGTCATGATAAAAACTCTCAATAAAGTGGGTACAGAGGGAACATACCTCAACATAATACAGACCATATATAAGATAATAAGGACCAAACCCACAGCTAACATCATACTGAATGGTGAAAAGCTGTAAGCTTTTCCTCTAAGATCAGGACCAAGACAAGGATGCCCATTCTCACCACTGTAATTCAACATACTACTGGAGGTCTTAACCATGGCAATCAGAGAAGATAAAGATATAAAAGTCATCCATATTGGTAAGGAAGACATAGAACAGACACTATTTGCAGAGGACTTGGTACTATATATAGAAAACCCCAAAGACTCCACCAAAAACCATTAGAACTAATAACTGGATTCGGCAAAGTTTCAGGATACAAAATTAATATACGTAAATATGTTGCATTCCCATGTACAGCAACCAACTAGCAGAAGAAGAAACAACTCTATTTACAATTGCTCAAAAAGAATAAAGCACATAGGAATAAAACTAACCCAGGAGGTGAAAGACCTATACTCGGAAACTGTAAGACATGGAGAAGAGAAATTAAAGAAGACACAAATAAATGGAAATTTATCCAAGTTCATGGATAGTAAGAACTAATATTATCAAAATGGCCATCCTGCACAAATCAGTTTACAGATTCAATGCAATCCCTAACAAATTACCAATGGCATTTTTCAGTGAACTAGAGCAAATAATCTTAAATTCATATGGAACCACAAAAGACCCCAAATAGCAAAAGCAATCTTGAGAAAGAAGAAACTAGAGGTATTACATTCTCTCAATTCAAGCTACACTACAAAGCCACTATAATCAAAACAGTATGGCCCTGGTTCAAGAATGTATCCATAGATCAGTGGAACAGAATAGAGAACTCAGAAATAAACCCATGCATGTATGGTGAATTAATGTATGACAAGGAAGCCATGAATATACAACAGGGAAAAGACAGACTCTTCAATAAATGGTGTTGGGAAAATTGGACAGCTACATGCAAGCAAATGAAACCAGATCACCGTCTTAACTCCATACAGAAAAGTAAATGTGAAGTGGATTCAAGATCTAAATATAGGACATGGAACCATAAAACCCTTAGAGGAAAACTTAGGCAAAAATCTCTTGAACATAAGCATGAGCAGTTTTTTTTCTGGACATGTCTCCCTGAGCAAGGGAAACAATATAAAAAATGAATAAGTGGGACTACATCAAACTAATAAGCTTCTGTACAGCAAAGGACACCATCATCAGAACAAAAAGGCAACCTGCAGTATGGGAGAATGTACTCATACATGATTTACTTGATAAGGGGTTAACATCCAAATATATAAATAACGAATATGCCTCAACACCCAGAAAATCAAATAACCCAATGAAAATATGGGCTAGGGACCTGAACAGACAATTTTACAGAGAAAAAATACAAATGGCCAACAGGCACATGAAGATGCTCCACATCACTAATCATCAAGGAAATGCAAATTGAAACGGAAATGAAAAATCACTCACACCACTTAGAGTGCTCACTATCCAAAAGACTAGAAATAATAAGTGTTGGTGAGGATGTGGAGAAACGGGAACCCTCCAATTGGTGCAGCCACTATGGAAGGCAGTATGGAGGGTCCTCCACA